ATGCAATCGAGTTAAGCGTTCTATGTTGATCTGTGAATGGTATTTTGGTCCAAAAAAAAAATAAAAACGCGCCTATCGTTAGTGAGGGACCTGAGACATCATTCATATTTTTGGTGTCCTTTATGCTGTAAATTACTCTTATAGGGATCTTAAAAAAAATTGCCCTAAAATATAATACAACTCATTTTAATATTGATCCTTAACTTTTATTTTTTACTATCACAAACCTTCTTACTTCTTAATTCCTATCCCAAGTACCCTTGCGTGTTTTTCTTCTCTCTTTTTTTTTTTCTTCTTTTTGTTTTGCGCTGATCTTTATCTCCTCCCCATTTACAGGGAGTCAAGCCTTGCCATTATCCACCAAGTGTACACAGCCCAAATCTTCCTTAGATTTTGATGATATTTATACTTATCTTATTAACTTGTGATAATTATACTTTAACCCCAATTCTTTAAAATAATTATATTCTCTCTCGTTTAATAAAAACACAAACTAATCTTTAATTAAAAGATACTTTATTGCATATCGACAAAAAATTAATTATTTTATGTTACTATTACTCCCACCAGTATTAATATTATTAGTATTATTATTATCATGATTCGTTATTGTATTAATTAAATATTTAGGATGCCACATTTAAAATAGTTGAATGATGTTAATTTTCTATTTAATTATTTTTTTACTTAAATCTTGCCTCCGTTTGGGCCATTTAATTTGTTAAATTTAGAATTATTTAGTAAGTTGTGATTTTAGCCCTAAACCCCTAGGGCTGGGTTGTGACAATTTTAGCCAACTTATAGATTTTAATTTATAAAAAAATATTTTTGATTGTTTTGTTAACTTATTTCAAATAATATTTGATTATGGCATTTTTTTGAACCAAAAAAAAATTGATTATGAGAAGTAGCAACCCTCTGCTTTTGATTATCAATTTCTACCATGGATATGTTAATTTATGATTACACCCTTAGTTTTTGTTTTATTGAAAATATAAAAAAATGCCAAAGTGTATATCATGGGCTAGATTTTTATTTTATGAAAAACGTGGATTAGTAAATAATAACAAAAAAATAAAAGTTAAATTCAATTTATAATTGACAAAGGTTAATTAAATTTATTGTTAACAGGGTAAAAAGGACATTTAAACATCAACAAAGCTATTTGACAACTTATTTACTAAGTACTATTCATCAATTTAAATTTATAATCCAACAGATGCATCAAATAAATTAATAAATCTGACTAAAGTCACAATCTATAATTTATAATTTGTTTTAACAGCTGCACCAAGCAGCACTAAGGTTCAATTTAGTTTGATTTTAAAAAAAAAAAAATTAGTGATTTTTTGTCTTCATATTTGGCCATTTTTTCATTTACTTTTCTTGTTTTTTGGTTTTTGTTTTTTTTTTTTGATTTGGATACATCGGGAAAAAAAAGAAGAAGAAGAAAAAACAAGAGGACTAAGCCTCATCACTCCCATCCAGGTACAACATATCCGCAATTAAAAGGCACTTAATCTAAATGTATTTAAAAAATAAAAAATTAAATAATAAAATATATAAATAAAAAAATTAAATAATTTATATTAGCTGTGTTTGGAACCGTGGCTACAAGCTATTTTAGCATCAAATATAAAAAAAATTCTTTTAGCCACACTAACCCATTGGTTTTTTAAAAAAAAAATAAAAATAAAGAAAAGACAGTAGTTATCATGCACAGACACAGTGGGGGTGTTTGTTTCAGCTTTTCAGAGCTAACTTATAGCTTTTAGCTTTGAAAAAATTATTTTGTACTGTTTGGTTAAACTTATTTCAAACAGCTTCTGATTCTAACAGCTTATTTTAACTCAAAAAAGCTGATTCTGAGAAGCTGCTCACCCCTTGTTTCTGATTATCAGCTTTCTGCTGTAGACATGTTAATTTATGGTTATTCTCTTAAAATTTTTTTATTTTTTATTTTTTATTTTTTTAAAAGTAGAAAAAGACTTAAATGGACTATAAATTATTATTATTATTTTTTATAAGAAATGTAGATAAACAAAAAATAAAAATTAATTGAAAAAGTTATTTCTCAGCTTATTTAACAAACACTACTCAGCAACTTAAATTTATAATCCAATAGTTACACCAAACAGATTAACAACTTCTGATTAAAGTCATAATCTATAATCTGTTAAACTATAATCTATAAGCTGTTTTAACAGTTACACCAAACGGGGGCAGTGTAGGCTTAGGCTACTGCTGCCATCCCACAGGCAGTTAAATTATCATATTGCCCCCGCAAATTAATTTTGGAAAAAATAAGATTAGGGGCAAATTTATCATTTCAACCTTAAATATCATTTCAAACATATATTTCAATACAACAATCAATTTAAAAATTTAATCCAACTTCACAAACATAAAAATTAAAATAGCCTACTAAATAGTTAAAAAATCAAAAAGTCTCTAAAATAGTTACTTTTCAAACATACATTACTTGTAAGATTATTAATCCATCTATCTAAAAAGAAAAGAAAAGAAAAGAAAATTATAATATAAAATTTTTTGACTATAAATTTAAAAAAAAAAAACTAAAAGCACACAAAGGCCTATTTTGGGAACAGATTATTTTAATAATTTTTTAAAATTTTTAGCTAAAATATGAGAAATAGTTAAAAAATCAAAAAGTCTCTAAAATAGCCACTTTTCAAACATACATTACTTGTAAGATTATTAATCCATCTATCTAAAAAGAAAAGAAAAGAAAATTATAATATAAAATTTTTTGACTATAAATTTAAAAAAAAAAAACTAAAAGCACACAAAGGCCTATTTTGGGAACAGATTATTTTAATAATTTTTTAAAATTTTTAGCTAAAATATGAGGTAAAAAAAAAGTATGTTTGGGGTAATTTTTTGACTTTTTTAAGAAAAGATGTACAAATAGTAGAGAAAAAAAAATCTTTAATTTTTTTGTATAAGTTATAGGTTTTTTGACTTTTTAAATAATTTTTTGATTTTTTTACTAAAATGTTAATTTGCCAAACGAGGCCAAAGGCACAGCTTGCCACAACTTTTTAAGGAGGCTCTTAAAAAAAGAAAAAAACACAAAAGAAAGACTTTTGCCCCTTTTGGGAAGTGGGTTATAGGCCCTGTTTGGTAGGACTTATTTCTATCTTATTTCAGCTTTTAACTTAATTTAAGTTATTTTGATATATTTGGTTCAGCTTAATAATACAGCTTATAACTTTTTGTAAGCCAAAAATTAACTTGTTCTTTGAGTGTGGGAGGAGAAGCTTAATTTGTAAGTCAAAAATCAATTTATGTTAACAGTTATAAGTTATAAGCTATTAGGCTATAAGTTATAATCATTTTCCTACAGCTCAACCAAATAGGGCCGTAATCTACTTTTCGGATTATAACCCACTTTATCTCTCACAAAAAAGCTACTTATAAGCAACTTTTAACAAAAAAACTGATTATAACCATCTTTTCAAAATAGCCATTTATTTGGGAAGAAGATTGGACTAAAATAGCTCATTAAAAGATAAAATAGGTTTAAATAATTAACACAACAAAATATCACATATAATCAAAATCAACTATCTTCTCAAATACATTTTTTAGCTAAAAATAATTAATAAAACAAATAGCGAACTGAGGATGTTTGGAAAGTAATAGATTAATATATTTTTTGACTTTTTATGAAAAAAAAAAAGATGAAATATGAGTTAAATTGGGAATAATGTGATATAGAGATAATGGGGTGTTTTGGAAAGTTAGTAAAAAATTGATTTTTTGATTTTTTAAACATTTTTAGTGGTTTTTTTGGTAAAAAAAAACTAGTATTTTTGTTTTTTTTTTTGAAGAATTTGGTAAAAAGGCAAAAAGCTAACTTTTTATAAAGTTTCCAAATTGTCCCAATATGACACAAATAAAATAATTATGATTCAAATAAGATAATGAATTATTTTAATACAGGTTAAACAAAGCAAAAAATAGCGAATTTCCCAAACAAAGGTGTCATTTGAGAAGCGGATTGACTTTTTGATTATTTTAATTTGGAGATAAAAAGTTTTGTTTAAGAAAGATTTTTTAAATTTTTGTAAAAAAAAAAAATATAAATTAAATATAATATTTTATTTTATTAAGTTAAAAAATTTATTTTACCTATTCATGACTTTAAGTTAAAAAATTTATTTTACCTATTCGTGACTAAAATAAACCAACTTCCTATTTCCTAAACGAAGCCGGAGCCAAAATTAGCAAACGCGCCCAAATTCGCGTCACAAAAGCGTTCCCGCGCGGACCACGCCGCGCCGCGGCAAACAAAATTAGGTCGTAAACCAAACAGTCCCCTTACAGTCGCAACGTTCACTAGCCCGGAACTGAAGCTCAATATTCAAATCCACTTTACGAAACCCCCCAAAATTCCGCTTCCCGCCCAAATCCCACTCTTTTCCAAATCCCGCCCCCACTTTCAAAACCCTTCCTTTTTTGCATTTATTTATTTATTTATATTATTGAAATAAAAAAATAAAAATAAATTAAATCTCTCGCTACATATATATACACACTCCCTGATATAATATTTTATTTTATTAAGTTAAAAAATTTATTTTACCTATTCATGACTTTAAGTTAAAAAATTTATTTTACCTATTCGTGACTAAAATAAACCAACTTCCTATTTCCTAAACGAAGCCGGAGCCAAAATTAGCAAACGCGCCCAAATTCGCGTCACAAAAGCGTTCCCGCGCGGACCACGCCGCGCCGCGGCAAACAAAATTAGGTCGTAAACCAAACAGTCCCCTTACAGTCGCAACGTTCACTAGCCCGGAACTGAAGCTCAATATTCAAATCCACTTTACGAAACCCCCCAAAATTCCGCTTCCCGCCCAAATCCCACTCTTTTCCAAATCCCGCCCCCACTTTCAAAACCCTTCCTTTTTTGCATTTATTTATTTATTTATATTATTGAAATTGTACTTTAAACCCTCCGTCTCTCTCTCGCTACATATATATACACACTCCCTGTTTCTCTCTACATATACACAGCACCCATTTTCTCTCTCTATATCGCCTTCTCTCCGCCGCTCGTCCTCTCTCTCTCTCCTCGCCACAATGCCGTCGTCGAAGAAGTCGAAGAGGAGAGAAGATCCTAACAATGAAGCTCGCTCTGGCTCTCCACAATCGCCTCCGACGAAGAAGCCTAACAGACATCTCAAAGAAGAAGAGGAAGAACAGGACGATGCTCGCTTCATCGGTGAACCGGTTCCCGACGACGAAGCTAGGCAGCGTTGGCCTCATCGTTACATGGAGAAGGTAAAACTACTTACTAGCTGTTCGCTATGCGTTTGCAATTGTAGATCTAAAACTTGAGAAATATAGGTTAACTTTGAAAACTGTTTAGAATTAGCTACTGTAGTTTAAAAACAAAAAAATGTGTCAAAGTTTTAAGTTTTGAATCGTGTCCTAATTTAGTAGATATGTTGTTTCTGAGTGTGATGTAATCAATCTGTTGAATACAGAGCAAGGGGAAGGAAGTTGGTGCATCAAAAGGCTCAAAGTCGTAAGTCTTCTTTTTTTATTTTTTAATATTAGTGTGATTTTTAATTTTAGTTTTTTTTTACTATTTTAGATTGTTTTGTTTGTTCATTTATTATTTTACTAAATTCAATTCGTGCAGTAATGATGACTCAGATGAGATTATTCAAGCTAGAAGCCATTACCTAAAGGGAGAGGTTGATGGTCGTGTAATTTTCAACCTTGATGATGATGCCCATGTAAAAGTAAGTATTTAAAAAATAAAAAATAAAAAAAATCAACAAAGCTATGTACATAATTTAGTGACATAAAGTGGCACTTCACTAACTAAGGCCACATTTAATTGTGGGGTTATTTTTGATGAGATTATTAATATTATTGTAAGGTATAAGTTATATCATGAGATTAGATGAATAATTGGATAAATGATATTATTATGAATAAGATTATGAGGATAAGTTATATGTTTGGATAAATTAATAGATGAGTCAACTGATTGAATAGAAGTAATGATGTATTATATTTTTGTATGATGAAATAAAAAGATATGATTATTTTTGATCGTTGGATGAAGGAAAAAAAATGATCCCGAGATGCTTAATTCTTCAACTTCACAATATTTATGGTAATATTTAATCTTTTATTTTTCTATATAATCTTCTATATCATTACTAAAATTATTAGGAGTTTTAATATTTAGTAATAAATACTTGATTGGACTATAGTGTGGGATCTACATCCCTCCACTTTCAATCCCGCTCTTAATACCCAAAACAAATGTGTCCCAAGGGTCTATGAACCTAATTATTTACATAATCTTTATAATTGTTGGAGTAGCTTTTAGGAATGTTAGTACTAATAAAAATGAGAGATGATATGATATTCATGAATAATGATTGATAAGTGGTGACAGTTAAAAGATGTAAGATGAGATATGAAAATGAGAAAATAAGTATTAAATGAACTATTGTAGTCTTTTATTCTTGCTATGTTTAAGAAATTAAATTATATATATGTATAAAGATTAATAAATATAATTGGGATGGGGGTGGGGGACATCAAACTCATCCCACCTGGATTTCTTATTAGGTTTGGGAAAATTTGCACGGTGGGGCAGGGAGAAATTGCCACCCTTGCTTATTTAAAGTCTGAATGGCTAATTGGGTTCATGCCTCTCTCTACCAATAAGCAATTCTTTATCAGCTTGAGATTGGATCAGTTTAGAATCCTCTTGATATTGTTCAAGATTCTTAGCTTAGAACTAATCTTGTTAGCTAGTATGTGACTTGCTGCATGAAATTCCCCTCACATATATGAGGGTGTTACCAATGCTCATCTTGGCAGAAAAAGGTTAACATCTGCAAAATTATAGTATTGTTTTTGAAGTAGAATTTCTATTTTTGGTGTTTTTGACGGTTTGGAACCAAAATTTTGGCTATTTGGTTTTGGTCTATGTACTAATGATGAAATCAATAGTTTAACCTCCAAGAATGTGATTTATGTGTTTAAATGAATTGTTTTTAGGGTGAAGAGGGACAAGATGATTACATCTGCAAGATTGTGGAAATTTTTGAGGGAACAGATGGTCTTCCTTATTTTTCTGCTCAGTGGTATTACAGAGCTAAGGATACAGTAAGGAATTCAGAAATGTCCTACTAGTACTGTTGTTCCATTTTTTGATGTAATAGAATTCTAATGTCAGACTACTTGTTTCTATGCAGGTTATTAAGAGCAGTTCTAACCTTATTGATAATAAGCGTGTATTCTTTTCTGAAGTCAAGGATGATAACCCTCTAAATTGTCTTGTTGAGAGGCTCAAAATTGTCCGACTGCCCTTAAATGTATGACTCACTTTGGGTCCTTGAGAAGTCCATGCATTTCTATGCCTGCATAATAATGGTTAATCTTTTGGGATTTTTTAGCAGGTGGATTTGTCTGTCAAGGATGCAGCAATTTTGAATTGTGACTATTACTGTGATATGATGTATCTACTGCCATATTCCTCATTTTTGAGCCTGCCACTTGGTATGTTCTTTTCTTTAACAAATGAAATGGCGTGCTTGTTATTTTGATCCACTTCAATGAGATTTTTTTAAATGGAGGAAAATAACATACTTCTGCTGCTCAGTTTTAAGAATCTGGTTGTCTTGCAGATAATATGGGAGCTGGTAGTGAATCAGATTCCACAATCTCAAGTGAGACTGATCTTGCTGGACCAGTTGGTGGTATCAAGTTTGATACTGAAGAGGTTTCACTAGCTGAGGAGCACAAGAAGGTAGAGATGACCCTTCTGGATCTCTACTCCGGCTGTGGTGCAATGTCAACAGGTCTTTGCCTTGGCTCCAACATGTCTGGTGTTAACCTTGTTTCTGTAAGTTCTTAAATGTTATTTATATGTTCCCTTTGCCCACTACCAGATTAAACAAATTTTTTATTCTATTTTTGTGCTTAAATTTTGGGTTATTTAATTTGTTTATCTATTGTGTTTGTTTGTTTCTTTAATTTTTGGACCTTTATCTCTTTATGTAGAAATGGGCTGTTGACCTAAATGGATACGCCTGTGAAAGCCTGAAATACAATCATCCTGAGTCTAAGGTACATACTTTTGCAATATCATCAATTTGTCATTTAAATGTGGATAAGTTTTGATTGATTAACATTACAGGTGAGAAATGAATCTGCAGAAGATTTTCTGTCTTTGCTAAAGGAGTGGCAGAAACTTTGTATCTCCTTCTCTTTGATAGGAAGTAAGGATTCACAAGAACACTATCTAGTAGATATTTTAAAGACAGAAGATGATGAAGATCAAGATGATGAAAGTGACGGTGATGATGGAGAAGATGATTCTGAAGTATTTGAAGTTGACAAGATTTTATCCATTTGTTATGGTGACCCAAAAGAGAATGAAAAGCGAGGATTGTATTTGAAGGTACTGAACTTTTAATCCAAAAAGAAACATAAACTTAATTTGTGCATTTCTATTCTACTTGGGAATCATAAGAAAGAATGCTGGAAAAGCTTTTTATAGCAAATACACACAACAAAGCTTTGAGGAGCCAGGTAGATCTAATTAGTGTTACATATCCATTTATGTACATGTATATCTATAGTGCCTGATAATCTGATTGTTGTGTTTGTTTTTGCATGTAGAGATCTGTCAGTTGAAATGAATAACAATACCGAATTGATTTTTTTCATTAATAAAGTTTGTCTATATCCATTCATTTCAGTACTCCCATCACAGCATATGCTCTGCAAAAAACTTGATTTGGTCAATTTGATGAGCAGTTAGCTGTTCAAAATATTAGATTACTAATACATGTAGGATTAGTTTAGCAGTACCTGTTCAAATTATTAGTTTATGAATACTTGAAAATTTTCAATCCAATAATTATGTCATTTGTAATTTGTTTCTTCATGTGTATGTAGTTTACTTGTTACATGCTTGTTCTTCCTTGTTGTCTATGCATACTTATTTCCTTTTCTTTTTCAATTCTAGATTCGGTGGAAGGGTTATGGCCCAGATGAAGACACCTGGGAGCCTATTGATGGTTTGAGGTATGCCAACAAGAACACATTTTTTTCTATGTTCCTAATATATATATATATATATATATATATATTTTTATAATCAGTCATCTTATAATGAATATTTTTTTTACTAGTGATTGTCGAGATCGGATAAAGGAATTTGTCACAAATGGGTATAAATCAAAGGTTCTTCCTTTGCCGGTAAGTCTTTATTGTATCAATTAGTTTTGCTATCCATTAATGTTTGCTTCTTGATTCTAACATCTACCTTTTTTTTTTTGGTTGTTGTTGAATGTCACATAGGGTGATGTTGATGTTATTTGCGGTGGTCCTCCGTGTCAAGGCATAAGTGGATTCAATCGCTTTAGAAATAAAGAGAATCCATTAGAAGATCCAAAAAACAAACAACTTGTTGTTTTTATGGATATTGTAGATTATTTAAAGCCAAGGTTTGTATTAATGGAAAATGTTGTTGACCTTGTAAAGTTTGCTAGTGGGTTTCTTGGAAGGTATGCTTTAGGTCGCCTTGTTGGAATGAACTATCAAACACGGATGGGCATGATGGCAGCTGGTGCCTATGGCCTACCTCAATTTCGCATGCGTGTGTTCTTGTGGGGTGCTCGTCCTTTAGAGGTGATTTTAAAAGGACACTAATTTATTTTTGCTTTTTGGTTGTGCTTTTATACCAATTGAGAATATTTGTTTCCATATGCAGAAGTTGCCTCAATACCCCTTACCCACTCACAATGTTGTTTTGAGGGGTGTTATTCCTACTGAATTTGAGGTAGATTGTATTACATTAAGTTTTTCTCACTATTTCTTAACATTTGTTTCTGATTTTACAATAAATCTTCTCTTTCCAAATGCAGTTGAACACTGTTGCTTATGATGAAGGTCGAAAAGTTGAACTAGAGAGGGAGCTTTTTCTTGAAGATGCAATTTCTGATCTCCCTCCTGTAAATAAACTAACTAGTTACTATTGGTTATTTTGTTTGCTTATTGATTTGACATATGTTCCATGGTTAATTTTTATTTTTAATTGTTACAAGGTTAAAAATGATGAAGGAAGAGATGAAATGCCATATGGAAGTGAGCCAAAGACCGAATTTCAACAATTCATTAGATTAAGGAAGGATGGTGAGCTTTATCATAATCTTTGGACCATTATATTTATAAAAGTTATATTTATAAAAGTTATGTTAATGGTAAAACTATCGTTCTTTATGAGATCAATATCAAGATAAATCATGATGTAATGAAGGGTGGTTCTCATTAGTAATCATTATTTGGTGCATGTGTATCATAAAGCAAATGTTTTTATAGAATTTGTCTTGGTTTAGTTCATTGAAACACCCTCTTCACTTTGGATACTATCTTAGTTACTTCGTTTCAAAAATCATTTATGATGGTGGATCATGGAGGGGAAAAATAAAGAAGGGATAAGTAGAATTGGGAATGTTAAGTTGCCAATTGTCCCAAAAGCTTAAATTGTTAGGAAATGGGTCTAACAGTATCAGGTTATTCAATACCTTTCCTCACATGCAACGTTGTCTTGCACATGGAGATGCAAACATTCTTACATTGGGAAAGAAGGCAATGCATATGAGAGAATGATTGTAAATAGGGACTAAATGCAAATAGAGAGATTTGAATGCTAGATCTTTCTCAACCTAGTCTCTGATATCAAGTTAAGTTATCAACTGTCCCAAAAGCTTAAACTCTTAAGAAATGGACCCAATAATGTATATCAAGCTAGTCAACAAGGAAGGGGTGTGTATTTGAGATAGAGCTGTAGTGTTTTAAAATTATTTTATAATAACAACCAAGTATGGCATCTAGAACATATATGTCATTTATGGGCAACTCCAAACAAGAGATAAATGAATGAAAAAATAATGCCAATTTAGCATAAACTAGTAAAGTTGCAAAATTATATATTTAAGCTAATCCTAAATGTCAGCACTTTTTCTATAACTACATGAAGTGTTTAGTTAGCTCCCTGTTATGTTACTGTGCTGATTCAACAGCTTTTTATATGTGGTTTAATATGCCTCTTTCAATGCCCTTTCTATGCAAAGGGACTTTTGGTACTTTAGTTGTTTATTTAAAATTGGCTAATGCAAATTTCATGTTCTTGAAATGTATTTTTTGTGATTGGTTTCTACTTGTTTTATTTTTCTTTCCATCTTATGTAGAGTTGTTGAGTTGTTCAGCATTGGGGTCAAAAGCATCAAAACAAGTTCTCTATGATCATCGTCCTCTACAATTGAATGAGGATGATTACCAGCGTGTCTGTCAAATTCCTATGAGAAAGGTTTGCCTGATTTTATACCTCAGGCTACTTTGTATGTATAGTATTAGTACTAATGAAAAGTTTCAAACCTCTAAATAATTCTGTACTTCATTGCTTTTTTGGTCTCAGGGTGCAAACTTTAGACATTTGAAAGGTGTTAGGGTTCGTGGTGATAACAAAGTTGAATGGGATCCAGATGTTGAAAGGGTGTACCTGCCTTCAGGAAAGCCTTTGGTGAGAATGTTATGTTTGTTGTTGCCATTGTCTTCTACTCTTTTTTGCTAGTTGCTGCCTTGATCTAATTGTGTTGCTTGCATAAATAGGTTCCTGATTATGCAATGAGTTTTGTGGGAGGGTCCTCATCTAAGTAAGCACTGCTTGCCTTTTTTGTTATGTAACCTCTTTTGTGAAGGAAAGTGATATGCTTACATAATTTATGGCAAGAATGATGTGGCAGTGGTTTTGTTGAAAATACAAGCCATTTTGATGGGCATTTTGTTTTAAAATAAAAATAAAACCTTGCCACATCATTTTGTATTTAATTTTTTGTATATAATTTCTATTTGTATATCAATAAACTCCTCTGTTTCCTATTGTGATTGCTAATTTTGTGAAATTATCCAGACCATTTGGCCGGTTATGGTGGGATGAGACGGTGCCAACAGTAGTTACCAGAGCAGAACCCCACAATCAGGTGATTTTCTTCCTTAATATATTTCATGAGCATATAAACATGTAGGTAGGCATATACTTCTGATGCAGGTCTAACACCATATCTTTGATGCCTTGCCAGACCATATTGCATCCTCTACAAGAGCGAGTCTTGACAATTCGTGAAAATGCGAGACTACAAGGTTTTCCAGACTACTACAAGCTTTTTGGCCCGATCAAAGAGAGGTAACTCTATGATGACAATGTTCTATTGATTCATGGTTAATAAATCTAGTTGCATCATGACAAACAGTCATATATTATTTACATATTAATTCTTAGTGTCATTCATCTGCACCTCTACTCGTCTCAAAGCCTCACCAAGTTTTCTCCTGTTGCATTACTTGTGTTTGATGCACTTTTGCCTGAAATTCATAAATTGTGTACAAATTATACCATACAAAAGCTAAAACCTCCTATGGCTTGTTTGGTAATGTTTTTCTTTTTTGTTTATATTTTCCAAAAAATTTCAAAACAATTTTTTATTTCCTACCATCCTACTCCTGCCAGCAGCCACTTTTTTTTTTTTTTTTTTTTTAAAGTTGAACATATAATAGTTAGTCATTTCAAGATCTGAGTCATGTTTATAGATGTTTGAGGTAAATGTTTCAGATAGTATAAGCTTAATGTTGATTAAATTTCATGAATAACACCTTGAATTATCATAGTTAGTGCTGTTTTGACATGTTTTTTAAATTTTATTTTAGATACATCCAAGTTGGGAATGCAGTTGCCGTTCCAGTTGCTCGAGCCTTGGGTTATGGACTAGGCTTGGCATTTCAAGGCACGTGCAGTGAAGAACCTCTGTTCACTTTGCCAAATAAATTCCCTAACATTCTTGAGGACCTTTCTCCAGCTGCAATGGAAGATCATGCTTAGTTGTTGTGTACTAAAATAAATTTTAATTTGTTTCATTGCAACCATTCCTCCCAAAATGAGGAAAAAAAAATACATTTTATTTAGCTGTATCACATGTAACTTATTTTTATGAATTCGGTAATTTGATTCTTCCCCACTGAACAATATAATGGGTGAGTCTACTGATCTATGATTTTCTTTTGAACTTGTGCTATATTTTTATCAGTTTGGTTGTCTTTTTGTTTTTGTTTCAGATCAAAAATAAGAAAGAAAATTTGTTCTATTGACAGCTGTTTTGTGGGAATTTAAATTGTAATCTAGCCATTGCTTAAGAAATAACAAACTTATAATTGATATTTTTATTTTGGTTGTTGTACGAGAATAAAAATTATATGAAAACGATTGAGTGTTTTTGAATTTTCATTGTTTTGTTTCCAGAAACATGAAAAATATAAATGGAAAACAAAAATGAGAAAAAGCAAAAATAGAACCAAATAGGTTTGATTGGTAATGTAGTTACGTTCAATGGCATGCTAATTGTCTCCTACCATCCTTTTTGCCAAAAAAAGAAGAGCGATGATGAGAGCTCACAAAGAGGCTAAGAATGGCAGCTCCTATGTACATGTAAACATGTTTATGAATAATCCTTAGTTGTATTATTCCTCTACTCTTTTTTACAGTGGCATCAAAGGGGGAACAAAAAAAAAAAAAACACAATGAAAACAATGAAATAAACGAGAGATGTCTAAAGATGGAGTGAAGTATCAACTTCAGAATTTTCTGTACTTGGTGAGATGCTCATGATTGTTGCATCAATGGACCACAAAGTTGTCAATGATCTGTTTTCGATGGCTTTGATGTCGGAAACTTTGCTCGGTGAGTTGAGTCTGAGTGAGAGTGGATGATCTTGTGGAGGTGGTGACAGTGGAAATATCATCTTGGGTTGGACGGACACCTTGCCAATGGTTGGAGTGATTTGCTTGGACTCTGAAAACAGCTTTAGAAGCTCTTGTTGCTCTCTCTTCTCTCTCACTCTTTGCAGTTGCTTGAACCTTTCTTGGAGGAGAGCAATGGAGGAACCAACCATGGTGGGATCATTACCATGCCTTCCCATTTGAGAGAGAGAGATTCAATTGGAGGTGAGATGTGGAGGAAGAAGAGTTTTGAGATGAGTACGATGAATGCAAATTGGTTTTTGGTACTCACGGAAGGGCTACATGTGCATAATATAGGAGAAGAATTCAAGCTTATGCCATTAATTTATGGTTTTTTGAGATGTTATTCTCTGGTCCAACACCCTCACATTATTTTTTTATCCCAACCACTCATAGTCAGCAATCTAAGATAGTAGGATTAGATGTCTCACATTTTCACTTTCCCAAAATAAGTAATTGGCTAAGTAAATGACATAAGATAGTATCATTGTTGTTAGGAAAAAAATAATGTGGTGATCTTGAACAATTGAATAATATTCCTTACTATAGAGCCTTCTAATTGATTATGGATGACGTAATAGAGAGCGGAGAATCGGCAACTGTTGAATAAAGTCCAAGAAGAAAGGGTTGGAAATGCCATCTAAAGTTTGGCTTGAGTTGGTGTATGTTAAATCAAAGGACTTTTTGAGGGAGCAAAAGGGCGAGAAAGAAAATCCAAATGCTTGTGGAGAGTAGCATTTGGAAGTGCTTGTTGAAGGGAATAAGAGGTTAGGTAGGTAATGCTGTGAAACTCCTCTAGGCTTTGTAGAAAGAATATTACCACTTTTGGTGGCTTTTGGAAGGGATATTATTTCTTTACTCTGTCTTCAACTTATAACATTTTTCATGTTCTTCTGACAGGTGAGATGAGGTTATGCAGAAAAGACAAAAGTTTGGAAGGAATATCTCTGAGATTTGTTTGATTGGACCTCTTTTGGAGGAAGGAGATGGAAACCGACCAAGATGACCATTTTTTTTTTGGGGGGTCTAAAGCGGCGTAAAAACACATAAAACTCTTCAATGGAACAAAAATAAAAATAAATTGTAACTCTAGTTCTTTTAGAGATAGTAGGATCTTTGGTGTAACAAGGGAAGTTGATCCGTATTATCTTTGACTTGGTTATGCTTTTTTAAAAAATATTAAGTCCATGAGATTCTTTTTTTTTCTTGTATCGAATAGAATATGTTTTGTCAAATCTTTTTTATGTAAAATCTGTCCGAAAATCGTATGATTTTATAAAACCATGCGATATAGCTCTAATTTATAGTCAATCCTATTTCCAATAGGGGCAATAGACAATTGAATCTATTTTTTAAAATTTTTATTTTATGTGGGGACATAATTTTTGAATGACAACACGTGGCCGAGACGATACCGAAATGTCAGTCGAGGTGTTGCGTGTTCTGGTCATAATGCTGAGATGATTTCGGCTAGGCCGAGGTTATCTGCGAGAATGCCGGAATCCGGGATAAGCGGATAAGGGACAAGAAGTTTGGGTAAAGATAAGACTCTTAGGGAGTTTATCCTAATCCTACTGGGAGTCCAAGATTAGCAGTAATCCTAAGTCCATTGGAGCTAGGCTTCTATTGGGACTAGGATTATGTTGGCTATAACTAAGTCCATTGGAGCTTCTATTAGGACTAGAATTATGTTGGCTATAAAAGAGGCACCCTCATGAGTCTAAGGTATGTCTTTTATGCTTTGTCCAGTGAGTTTAGTACTATTGATTATCATTGAGACCCCGGGTGGATGAACCACCGCCGGAATCTTCTCTTTTTGTTACAAGTCAAACAGGTGCCATCTATTCTGCTAGTGCTTTCCAGCTGAATACTGAGTTGACAATGTGATTAAAAAATCACTCATACATTTTCATATACGTAATAGTATGAATACTGAGTTGACAGCGTGATTGAAAAATCACTCACACATTTTCATATACATAATAGTATGAAAAGAAATTCCAACTCCAAGTTGTTCAAGAATAACTCGACCGAGTAATTTTCAAGTTGTGGGTTTGGTAATGCCCTAACCAGTATGGAGTGAATCTATTAACATAAGTCAAAACACTTTAATTTCACAATATCCTTCATGATTTGCTTTGAAAATATACCAATAGATTCCTAATTTACATTTCTAGGTTTACGGTGCCCTTCACGAGATCATGATTGGTTTTGATAATACGAGATCATAGTTGGCTCTGCTACCATTTATCATGCCCAATGATACCATTTATCATGCCCAACGATTAAAATGACGTGGGTTTACCAATATGAGAAAAAATATTGGATAAATTACAAATACTTCTTGTAAGGTTTATTTAAATTATAAATTATCTCTATGATTCTAAAAATTACATTATGCCTCTTAAGATTTCTAATTTTATAATAAATAGATCTTTTTATTAATAAATTATCAAGTTAATTAACAATTTTTAATAATGTTATAATTTTATTTTAATTAATAATTCAGATAATTTTATTATTGTATAAGTAAATAATTAGAAATTTTACTTTTTCAATTAATTCTATTAAATAAAAATTCTAACAGGAAAATATTTATAATTTTTTAAATCACATGGAGCAATTTATATTTTAAATAAATATCAAAGGTGTATTTATAATTTATCAAAAAATATTTAGCCTAAATTGCTAGTAGTCTATTTGGTTCTTAATATAGTAGGCTAACCTTTTATATTCCGTCGATGTTAGATATCGGAGGTTCAAATTTGAGTGCTTTGTACTTTATATATTTAGAGTGTGTTTGTTTTGAGGGATTATTCCATAGGATTGGATTAGTAGTCCATTCGAACTAATAGTCTATTATTTGGTTCAATTTTTTGGCTCCGAATTAATAATCTCGTCGGACTATTAGTCCCTCATATGAGGGATTATTGTATCCTAGGAGAAGGAGTGAGATTATTTTCATGGGATTGGTATCGGGAGCTTCTATTTGCACATCTCCATTCCTCTCTTTACACACACTTAATAAAAATTATTTTTATTATAATTTTATTTTTAAGTGAAATTACTATTATAGACATTAAATAAGCACATTCGGAAGTTGAATGTCGGAAAAATGAAAAAAAGTCGGAACTCTACTTCCGAACCAATTGTTTATTTTCGAAATTTTACTTTCGAACCAATTATTTATTGAAAAAGATGTGTAAAGAGAGAAATGTGTGTGTGCAAATAGAAGCTCCCGATTGATATCCCATGAGACTAATGTGTGAAATATTCATTTTACCTTCATTCTATTACTTAATAAACAATTGAAAAATGATAAAATAGTCTTCTGAACATTTATAAATTATTTTTTTAGTATTGTTAATTTAAAATTATATATTAAATAAAAAAATAAATTTTAAATTATAAATTAAATTCAATTAAAAATAAAAAATAAAAAATTATGGCCTTATAATTTTTTTATTGTTAAAAAATTAAATTTATATATTAAATTTTTTTTTAGTGTTGTTAATTTAAAATTATATATTAAATAAAAAATAAAAAATATAAATTTAATTTAATTTAATTGAAAATAATAAATTAAAAATTATAACCTTATAAATTAAAATTTTTTAGTGTTGTTAAATAATAAATTATAAATTATAGATTACAAATTTAAAATTATATATTAAATAAAAATTATAAATTATAAGGGTAAAATAGTTTTTTTTGAACATTTATCCTTATCTAGTCCGTCTAACCAAATATTGGATTCATTAAAAATAGTCTAATTCATACATCTAATCCCATGACTAAACATACATAGGATACAAATTCAGTCTAATCAAATAGTTCGGAAACAATGTATCCCAACACTAACAATCCGATAAATTACCATCCCTAGTTCGTCCAAACAAACACACCTTTAATGCTGAATGTTAAGTTTGTACCTACCACTGCCAAATTGCCATCCAATTAAATTAGGTATACATATACTCAAGAATTTGTTCCAATTTTTAAACCTGTCAAGGTGCAATTTTCCTGTATGCAAACGTGAAAAATGATCTAAACTATTGATAAATGATTACAGATGAAATCTATGTTTCAATTTTGAATTTCAATAAAGATTCATGGAGAGAAAAGAAAAAGATCGGTAAATGTTAATAAAAAATATTTCGTTTGCATTTTTCTCGTTTTCTTTTCTTTTCACAAATTTCTACAAGATACAAACACAAGATGTAGAAAAATAAAAATAAAATATTTTTTGTGCACACAGGTGATACTGTTTATGTGAATTAGTGATTTGACATTGAACAAACTATCATATTGTGGACAAAAACAGGCTGTTTTATAAATTGATACAATATATATAAAACGAGCTTAAATGTGGATTCCATGACAATACAGCAGTGATTTGGATAATCAACAAAAATTGTTTTTCAATAAATTAAAAAAAAACTAAGAAAAAGTCAAAAATGAACTATGGGCCTATCGTCATGCTTGTTTTTTTGTTATGTTGCCTTCATCCTTGTTTGGTGTTACATAAAATGAGTGAAATAATCGCTGATTTGTCAGCCACTTCATGTTATGCTTAACGAGTCGACAGTGAACAGAAAAACATCACATTGAAAGCTCAGTTTTTCTTTTGCGTCTATGGCCCAGAAGAGGAGTGTTACCCATGACAAGACTTGAACAATTGATAGCGTGCGAGCTCATAATCGGAACAAATTAGCATTAGATTTGCTCGAGTAAAGGTTCTGAAAACGTAAATTATTGGAAATGATTTCCATTGTAACACAACAACGTAATGGAAATTACATTGTCATTATATCTAATTAATGTGCACCAAGTCAATACTTAAATCCAAGGTCTTGGTATTGGCTCTATCACCACAAAGGGCTTGATCACTTCTGCTTTCAAGCATCTTTCTTTGCTTTGTTGGTAGCTTGCTAGAGATAAACGTGCTTTCACACCCTCTTCGTGTGAAATGATTGGGGTGAGCAAAGTTTCCAATGGAGACGGGTTGAGGTCACTGGCTCATAGGATTAGAGCAGGTGACTACAAACCACAATATTAGGGGTTTGATGGGAATCCGGCACTTTAGATAATTTTCTAACTTTGGCAATTCAAAGTTGGAGAAGGGTATTCTTACTAACGAATCAGAATTAAAAATCATTCCATTTGGGATTCCTTACTCTATCAAAGTGGCAAATTTCTAAATTCTCATTGGGTCCTCGTGGAATATCTTTCAGAACTTGTTGAATAATTTTTATAGATTCTGTCATTACCATCATACGATTTGCAGTAAACTAAACTTTCAGCCTGAAATTGGGCTGTCCATGCTCTATCCAACTAGGCATTAGTCTCAATACCGGTGCTAACTCTTCACAATTGCCTTCTTCTTCTCCTCCACAGGACTTGCAGCATCTGCACACCGATCAATTGGCCAAATATGGATGGATTGTCTCAACATGAGTCTTTAGCCAATGTGTACTATAAATAAAAATTAGAAATCCTTTCAACAGAAAACAATATCAGTAGAAAAGGCTTCAATTGACATGCCAATGCACACTACATAGAAGATAGAACAAGGGTCCTGTGACTGCCAAAGAGTTTTTAAAATCAAATGGTATGGGTGACATTCCTGAAAATAGGGCTAATTGAATATTTATAAATTGGGTGTGTGTGAAGGTGAACTTCTATAGTTGATGAACAAAGACAAACAAACAACTGCTGAATCTTCAAGGAAGATTTCAGATGAGGTAACTCTTTTAAATCCATTCTCATATCCATAATACCACTCTAAGAAGTTTAGGAACAGTGTAACAGCTTTTCCCTCTGAGTATAATCTTCTAGTTATTTCTTTCTCCCCCTTAACAATAGAATAGAATGTGTTCTCATATGAGTTTTTTACCAAACACAAATGGTTCGGATTCTTATTTTCGAATCACGAATAGGTTCAACTTATTTTTCAAACCCATGTTATTTCGTAAAGTATTTTCAAAACATGACTTTAGGGTCAAAGTCATGTTAACACAACTTCAAAGAATAATGTCGTAATTTAAAACAAGACTTCTTAAAGTCGAGTTTTGACTTTAGGAAACAACGTACAAATCAAAACCATGAACGAAAACAATTTAAGAAGGTATAGACAAATTCCAAAGAAACAAACATTAAAGTCTAAATACAAGCTTTCCAGCCAAGATGTACTCCTGAGAAACCAAAAAGTGTATTATGTTGTAATACCCTGAAACCATTGCTTTATTGTCATTGTGAGATCAAGTCAACATATCAGCCACAAATTATGTTGCGAAAACAGTATATATTTATTAACTGTTCTCAGCAATTAAAAGAAACTAACATTAATAGGTGAGACAAAGAATAAACTGTAAAAGAATGATGAGGTATACAACAGCAAAACAATTCAATGCTGGTGTTCACTATTCTAGAATGTGTACCTTAAATCTTCTTCTTAGGTTCCTAGAAAACGAACGCTATGTATGTGGGCTAAATCCAAGCTGCCCGGTTTTCATCCTGCCAAAAAAAATAGAGCAAGTCAATTTTCTACTAATTCATATCTATACTACGGCATTCAAATAACAGTCCAAACTAAATAAATAATGATATGTTCATCTGCAACCTCTTTATCCTTCTTGCAATATGGAACATGCATCGTTTTCAACAAAGTGAAAAGATTTGGATAACTAAGATGATGTGATTTGGCTATTTATATTCAAGTGGAGAATAACATCGAAGAAAATTTACTGCACAGCTCAAATGATACCACATTAGGACAGACGTGGAATACTTCCTCTTTTCTCTCATGGGGTTAAAAGCTAAATTATGAGGTTAGAAAAGCAGTGCAAATCACAAAGTATCCAGAACAGTATTTGGATGCAGGCATCATAGCAACAGCACCATGTGTGGTTTTCCCACTTAGATTTGTCCATTGATAATGTGAATCAGCATTCCAAAAACTAAAGATTCACAATGACTAAGTTCAAGTTAGGAAGACTAATAACATTAAGAACCATTCTTCCTTTGGCAATCTTTCTTAATAATAATAAAGGCATAAAATAAAGAGGCACCAAAAGGGTGCAACCCACGCACAAAAGAAAACCTATACTATATCAACTATACATCACTCCTATTCTAAATTCTCAACAAGGTTCAAAAAATTGGTTCAAGGACGGATTTTTGCTGAACCCCAAAGGTACCTACTACGCAAACTGTATTTCAACAGGAATACTATTTTTGTTTACACATAAGTGAAGTTAGTTTCATTGGACTTTTCTATGCTTAGCATGATTTTAAAATTAAGCTTTGATTTATAGATTCTTTAATATAATGACATTTAACTTATACCTTACTTTTGACATTAAAATGTTAGTGGTAGGTTGGATCTTTAACCACCTAAACCATTTAACTAGTTTTTGAATTACTCTAAATTAAAAATAAACATTTTTCTCACGAACATACTCCCAGACGTACTTTGTTTAGATTTACCATATGGACATACCAGTACTAGTGCCCGTATTTTTTTTTTTTTGGGATAACCGGGTGTCCAGACCAGCTTGTGCGCACTTCAACCAGTACCCGTACTGGTTCCCATACCAGCGCTTCATAGGTTGCAAGGGTCACCTATGAGTCTTCTTACGGGTCAAGTAATATATTTGGGTCTCATATATGGTTGTTAAGAGGTTTGTAACTTTCTAGTTGGTTTGGAATATTCTAAGCCTATGAATGCTAGTTATATTGCTATTCATTAGAATGGAGATTTGGGATTTGTGTGAAGCTTTTGAAGTTCTATGTGATGCTCATGCAGTCTATAGGGTAAGGTAATTCCTAGTGAACTTCAGGCAGGATTCCTAGTCTTCTTTCTCCTCCTCTTGTCTTCTCTTTTCACAAAACACTATTATTAGAGTACTGTTCACAGCCTCCCAAAATCTTAACCAATTGGTTTCTAATCAGCCTTAACCCTTCCCCTTAGGCCTTTAATTTAACACTTAAAAACCTCATTTAGCTGCTGCTGAGAGAGTTTCTGGCTTTTAGCGTTTCTCTTGGCAATCAAACAACTTACCACTTTTGAATTACCCCAATTTTGGGCTCCTCACTTCCAAAACATTAAAACCTTTCTTCCATCCTTTGGACACTAAATTTAGAATCCATATCAAAATCCATAAAAAAACCAATTATAGGCAGCCTAGTTCAGTTTTCTAAAGCTGTCCCGCATCAAACTAGTTCCAAAACACACGCTGCTTTCACATCACACCCAAAGTGTTAGTTTCTCCTATTCCTTACTTTTGAATTTCCTCAAAATTATTAAAATATTTCCAAATTAAGAAAAGTCCAAATCATCCAGGCCAATATTTATTCTGAAACCCCGACTTTTTACAATTGACAAGAATCTGCTGATTGTTTGTTAATAATAGGTCTTAGCAACAATGTTGGTAGACTAAAGTAGATGAAAGAGCCCAAAATGATAACCTCAGGAGTTTTTTTTAACCCTCAAAGATGGTCTTTTCACTAACAATTTTAGAAAAATTGGCAAGATAAAGAAAAGCAGAATGCAAAAGAGTGTGCATTTGTATATGAAGCAAACTGAACATGACATATACAAGTCAATGTCAAGGCAACCAAACGTCTTGACTTCGAAATTACCTGAAAATGATCAACTTGTTCACTGGGCTGAAAGTTTGCTTGACCTGTCATCATGGTATAATTCCAGATTAGACTTCAACAATTTGGCTTGACCTTTTGGGTGGAATTCTGCGATAAAAGATTAGCCATCAGAATACAAAAGCTATATATTTGAAGGAGCTTGAAAAACAAAGTAACTCCTCTCTATCCCCTTTCCTCCATGCAAACCAAAAAACAAAAGAAAGAAAGCATTATGTGATCATAAATTATGAAAGGCATCATCTTCTCACCATTCATTGGATGATAGAGCTTCGAAGTAATTACAGCTCAGCTATTTATTTACAGGTTCTAAAAAATTGCATCTCAGTCATGGGATTACTGAGGCCCAAATAAACAGCTACCCATTTGTCTTCCCCGAGAGACAGCCTCGTTTTGTGTTCGTTGATTTGGTAAGGGAAATGTCAACTTGATGAAAATACTGTCATGGTTCTCAATTTGTCCGCAACTTGATCTGTGTTGACAACTTTGTCTACTTTTGACAATTCTCTGGCCAAGATTACATATGTTTGGAGATTAAGAGTGCAATTCTTAGATTCCATAATGTTAAGAAACTTCATGCACATATTGGATTCTCCCTCCTTGAGCAACCCATCGACCAAGATAGTCCAAACAATCTCATCGGAATTCCATTGTTTCTCAAGCATGTTTTCGAACAAAGCTTGAGCTTCTTCCATCCTGCATGCTTTGCAGAGAGCACAAACGAGAGTTCTATAAATTGATAAACGAGGCTCAAAGCCTTCAACAATCATCAATTTAAAAATTTCAAGAGCATGGTCCACTTTCGAACCCTTGCAATAAGCACCCAGGAGAGATACACAAATCTCTTTATTAGGACACATCCGTTTCTCTTCCATATTTTTAACCAATTGTCTTGCTTCATAAGTTCTGCCTTCTCTACACAAGCCAGTGACTAAGGTACTGTACGTATCAATAGTAGGTTCACAGCCATACTCTGACATTCTAGTCAAGAGATCGCATACCATTTCAAAACTGACATCCTTGTCATCCGAACTGCAACTATATGCTGCTTCATGTTGGACTGCAACCTTTTCTGCAAGCAAATGGAATTCTTTTTGCAAGCCCTTCACCAATACAGTGTAAGTTCGGTAGCTAGGTTTACAGCCCACATCACTCATACGTCGTAGAAGTGAAAATGCATGATCTAGCCTACCAAGCATTACAAACCCATCAATTAGTGAGGTAAATGTAACAAGATCAGGAACCAATCCTTTCCTCTCCATCTCTTCAAGTAACATCTCCGCATCATCAGCCTTGCCTTCTAGACACAACCCGTAAATGAGTGAACTGTAGGTGTATAAATTTGGAAAACAGTTACTTTTTTCCATTTCATGGAAAATCCTGAATGCAAGATGTGTCCCACCGTTCCTACAAAGCCCATCAATCAAAGTGGTATAGGTGATGACATTTGGGAGCAACTCTTTTTCTGCCATCTCATTACATAGTTTCTCTGCTTCCGAAAATCTATTCTCTTTGGCCAAACCATTTATCACAGAATTGTAAGTTTCAATCTTTGCATTGCAGCCATTTTCCTCCATCCTCTCAAGTAATGACAAGGCAACATCTACTTTCCCTTCTTTACAGTGACCATCAATCAATGCTGTGTAATTAAACTCATTTGGACTCAAGCCGCGCTCCACCATTTCGTTAAAAAGAGTTGTAGCCAAATCAAACTTGCCTCTTTTGCAAAACCCTGAAACAAGTTCTGTGTAAGTCCATTCATCAGGTTCACAACCATTCTCCTTCATCAAACCCAATAGTCTCAAAGCATTGTTCAGATTCCCATGTTTAAGGTATCCATTAATGAGTGTATTGTATGTTATTATTGTTGGAGGGGGACCTACCTTCAGCATTTTATTGAAAAGAACCATTGCCTTCTCAATATTTCCAACCATGCAAAATCCGTTTATGATTTCGTTGTAGGTTTCAATGTTTGGCAAGCTACCATGTCTTTCCATCCAATAGAAAATCTTGAAAGCATCATTGAATCTTCCTCCAGCACACAATTCATTTATCATTGCATTGTATGTGACCGTGTTTGGAACCAAACCATCCTTCAACATCTTGTGGTACAACCCAATTGCCACCTCCAGTTTACCCAATCGAGACAACCCACTAATCAGAGCTGTGTATGTCTGCACATTTGGGTGACAACCCCTTTTCCTCATGCTGGCCACAAGATCAATAGCCTCCTTCACACGCCCAGCTGTACATAACGAAGAAATTGGGACAGTGTATGTATACACAGTAGGTTCAATGCATTTCTCAATCATTTCCTCGAGCATGTCCAGTGCCTCATCTAACCTCCCCTCATTACAAAGTCCATTTATCAGTGTCGTATAAGTCACAGAATTTGGATCACAACCTTCCTTTACCATCCTATCAAAAACCGCAAATGCTGCATCTAAGTTACGGTTTCTACAATGCCCAAGAATCAAAGACGTATAGGTAAACACATCGGGGTTCAAATCATACTGAAAAATCTTACTCAGAATGAACCCCGCCTCTTGAACCTTCCCCTTTTTGCAAAGTATATTAATCATCGTATTGAAAGTCAATAAAGTGGGTTTAATCCCGTTATTCAACATTTGCTTATACACATTTTGAGCAGCACCAACCATCTCAAACTTGCCTAATTGAATCAAAAGAGTATTAAAACTATATAAACTAGACCCCAAACCTTTCGTACCGATTTCATTGAGATAATCAATAACCCGGGTAATCTCCTCCCCATTTCTACAAGCTTTGATCATCAAAATCCTAACATGATCAGCGGGCGCAAAGTTCCGATCGCGGACGAGCCTATTTAACATCGACTTGAAACAGTTCAAATTGTGTTTGTAGAAAGGTCTCTTAGAGACCCAGTAAAAGAACTGCAGAGCCGATTCAGTGCTCTTGTGGGAATCAATAATCTCCGCAACGTGGTGAGGTTTGAGTTTGGGACTCAAACGCTGGAGTTCGGAGCTTCTATACCATTGAAGCTCACAAAGAATATCACACACCTTAGAGACCAAGTTTGAGAAGCCTTCAAATTGCGAAGAAATGTTGGGTTTGGATGAAAAATTGAAAAATTTGTGAGAACCCAATAGAGGGTAGTGCCTAGGGAGGAGAATAAGAGAGTGGATTTTGAGAGTATTTACCATTTCGGGCGATGAGAGAGGTCATGAATTGTTGTTGTTGTTGCAGAGAGTGGCGGCCATTGAAGAGGGTTTGATCTTTGCTTACAAGGTTGAAAAGAAGGTGTTTTTGTTTTCACAGAAAGAGAGGGTTTGAATATGTGCGATTGAGAAATTGATAGACGTGGTTGTTGAAAGACCATTGCTTTGCTGGAGAAATTGAAAGAGAAGGAATGCCCACAGGCCACAACAGCCTGTTTTTTAAGACTGTTAAAAAAGGCTAGGGTTGTTTTGGATTTCCCATTTTAAGAATGGTAGCAACATACAATTTTTATTCTTTTAATTTTATCCAAAAATATGGGCTTTTGTAATTTAAATATAGGAGTTAATTATTAAAAAATCCTATTTACAAGACACAAACTTCAAGTCTTGCGCTAAGATTTTTAATCCGAAAAGTCCTGAATTCTATTTATGTGACAATTTTACCTTTTGTTGTCACGAATGTTTGCAATCACTTCTCTTGATCTTTGTAATCTAGAAAAAAGTTCTGTTATGCCCCCTGCGACAATCGTGATAGTACTGTCCTGTTGAAATTGTGTGGGTTCTTGCTTTTTGTTTTCGTTCATTATCTATCGTCCATCGCCGAAAATTGGGTCAATACTAAAATTGAGAATATTTTTAATTTTAAAACAGAAAATGATTTCAGTTTATAATTATTAAAATTAAGAAATTGTTCATTTTTTTTAGTACTAATTGAGAATATTATTAATTTCGAGAATTTTTTTAATTTTTTTTATGATCAAAATTAAGAATATTATCAATCTACTCTCTTTCTCTCTCTCTCACATTTACTTCCTTATTCTCCTCCTACACTTTCTAGATCTAGAAATCTCCTAATCTAGTTCTAGATCTGGTTCGAGATGAGCATGACTGGATCACAATGGTGAGAGGCAATGATAGAGACGATGAGAGGTGACAATGATGATAGTGACAATGATAGGTAACGATGGCGACGACGAGCAGAGGTGACTATGACGACAAGAAGCGATGGGCAATGATATGGTTGCGACGTAACAAGGGATGAAGTGCGAGAAAGGGAAGAGAAGGCGAAGAGGGATGATTGAGGGAGGTCGCCGTTAGAGAAAGGAAATCGTTGGTGGGGTTTAGCATCGGGGTCGCCAGCAATAGTTCAGTGGTGGTGGCTAGAAAGAGAGAGAGAGAGAGTGAGTGAGTGAAGAACCAAACGTTTTTGTGTTTTTTAATTTATAAGAGTAGATTGGTCATATCAAATTAACATAGGATTTATGAGTTTAAAGTTTTGTGAGTAGGACCTAAACTACCATTAATTGCTAAAACAGGATTTGACTGTACATTACCTTAAATATAAATGAGAATATTAATACAATCAAATCAAGAGTAACTTTTTGAACCATTTTTCTCATTCAATTTTTTTGGGAAGAATATCAAAAACTTGGAAGAATATCTAATGATTTATGCATTAGATGAAACAAATAAATCTTATACCTACATCAATTGAATTTTTTTGTTTTATTTTTCATTTTTTTGAAATCCTCCCCTTATTTCTTCACTACTAATTCCATCATTGTCATGATAATCCTTTAATGTCAATTAACATTCTTTTATACTATAAATTATAAGTTCAATCTATATTTTAATTGACATGTCCTCAAGTTATATATTTAAATCAAAGTAATTATGTATTCTGTTACTATAAAAGTGAGTACTAAATCAGACTTATTAAATTATTTATCGCATTGTATACTGTTACCCAAGAGACAATCTAAGAGGGGGATTAAATTAGGTTTTTACAAATAAAAATAATAATACCCTAATAAAAATTATGACTACCATAATAGATAAATATAGTTAATGAAATAAAAATAATTAAAACAAGTGTTCTAACAACTATCTCAGTTAATGATTTTAGCACAGTGAAAATGTGAAATATAGTTATGTCAATTTAAATAAAATAAAGAGATAAGGGAGAAATAGACAAACAAATATATAGTGGTTCGGTTTCAACTCAGCCTACGTCCACTCCTCAAGCTTCACTTGAGATTTCCACTATACTCTAGCTTCTCAGGGTGCTAGCAACCTTTTCACATATGGAGTAATTCTCCACAAATTTTAACCAGACTTTCTAAGTCAAGAAAATTAAGTGCACTACACTTTTACAAGGTTGAAAATAAGGTATTTTTGTTTTCACAGAAAGCTACAAGAATTATTTCTCAAAGATAGATATAAAAATAAAGCTCTGGATTTTCTGTAAGCCTCACACAGGAAAGATGAACTTAATGTTATAAGGCTCAGTGTATAATTTCTGAGAGATGATGTAAACAAAAATTGAAAAACGCTTCTTAGAGAATTTTTTAGAGAATAGATGTGAGTGATTATATATCAAAGAATATTTTCTGATTTTTTTTTTTTGGTAACTTGTTTATATTAGAGGTTTTGGTATATATAATGAAACTTATAACCGTTTATACCCGTTGTATTCATTTGAATTTATAACTGTTTATAGCCGTTGTATTTATTTGAATTTATAGCCGTTTATAGCTATTGTACTCCATCATTACTAATTTGAATATTTTCCACTCTATCATTAATAATTTGAATATCTTCCATTTGAACCTTTTGGCCTGCTGCTGTGCTGGGCTGTTTGAACCTTTGTTTTGAGCTATTTGAACCTCTAATTTAATCAAATATTAAATACATTTTAACAACATTTAGGATATAGATTTACGTGAGAAATAATAAGGCAAAATAAATTTTGATTCTATTTTTCTCTTTCAAATAAATTAAAACATAATTAAATAACTCATCAAAATAAATAAGTCTAACAATCTCCCATTTTTTGATGATGGCACACAATGATATTTTGATTTAATTTGGGAGCAAGAAAAGCTTCCCCTCAAGTCATGCTCCCTGAATTCATTTCTAAATACATAGGTTAACACATGTATAATAAAAAAGCTTAATCAACAATATGATATAAGATTAAGATATTAAGATATCAAACTATAAATACATAACATCAGATTAGTTTAAAAATAATACTATAATACATAACATCATAATACATAACATCATCATAATATCATAAGTTTCTCCCCCTGTGACATTATCAAAAGGAAATCATGGCTCAGAATCGGGAGGAGGAGGAAGAGGAAAATGATAGAGATAAATGACATCAAAAAATAGATAATCAAAACATATATATACACATATATACACATACAACTCTCCAGTGTCTCTCTTTTTCCTTCGATAAACACGTTTGACACGCAACCTCACTTTTGCGTCATTGGTCGACAAAAGTAGGCCTCGGTTTGTACTCACCTCGGCTCCCTTTCCCTCCTTGTCTTCTTCTCGTTTGCCTTTTTCTTAATCACACACTCTTCAATTTTCTTCTTCACCATTCTCTTTTATCTCTTTTTCACCACTCTCTTTCTGTTACTTCTTCCTCATCAAGAGACAAAAAAAAGAAATTGAACGGAGGAACCCAAACCTCAGTCTGTTCTCTTCTATTTCTCTGCAATTCATTTCTTTTACACCACTCACCTTTAAGCCATGACTTCCTCATCCTGTACCCTCACTCTGTCTTCGGACCTGAACGATCCCATAAGCTCTGCTGGACCGAGTGCCCCTACTCCTACTCTTCCTGTCATTTATCTTCCTAACCTTCCTATGATGTCGATTGAGCAAATCATGGTGTAGACACCTCATTTTTGACCGTCCTCGAGACTTGGTTATGCTTGCAGGTATACCCAACAACTAGTTCGATTGCTCGCTGAGTACTCGACTGTCGCAGCGGAACGTCATCGGTTCGAGCTTCCCGGACCCTGTATCCTTTCTGCCTTTTTTTTTTTGAACCTTGACTAGGTCCTTTCAAAGTGACCTTCTTGGTGCACTGCCGGCCATGGCATGGAACTGCAGGCCATTGCCTTGTTCCTGACGGCCATTGGTGATGCCCTGCCGGCCATCAGTGAGCCACTGCCGGCCATTGATGATGGCCGGCACCCCCCCTGTCTTAGCTGGTTTTCCTCCAGATCTTTTGAGCCAGCTGGTTTTTTGTTTGCTCCCCTCCTTACATGTGTATGGAGGGATGAAGCCCTTGTAAAGCTTCTTGAAGAAGTTTTGGCTTTGCATTCCTCTATATAAGCAAGAGACCCCCCTTTTTGCCAGGGGTTCTGAGTTTTGGAGAGCAAAAACTCCATTTCTCTCTATATTGTTTGTGTTTAATGCTTTGAAGTTGGATTTCCTTGCATTTTTACACTACAACACCTAGATATACACCACCATCATTGAACCAAGCTTCTTGGGAGGTCTAAAAGCAATCTTCCACCCTCTAAAATTGCTGGTTTCGAAGAGGGTCTTCAAGGGTGAACATTTCCCCCATTTTTGCACTTTCTTGCACCTTGCTTTAGCCCTCTTTGCATATTGATTTAGGCTTTGCTTATAACTTGAAAAAGTCTTGTTTTTAAGTGCTTTTTAAGTTTGGTTAAGGTTATTTTGCTGTTTGGGGTGTGTAGCCCCCTTGCATGCTTTGTTTGGCTTTGTTTTAAGCCATATCTTGAGGCCTCCGAGCTAGCCTTGGTTTGGCCTTCCTACCACTGAAATCCAGTGGGATTTTGGTGGTAGAGGTATGGTTTTGAGGTCCTAAATCAGAGGGGGTAGTCCCCTCTCTTTGTGTCCCTCTTTACTTGCATTTTTTGGCCTTCCAAAGGACCATCCCTCTATGTATTTTTGAGGCTTGATTCAGGCCAATTTTTGTAACTTTTAGGACTTGCCTTGGCCCTGTCCATGGCTGGTTTGGTCATATTTTGCATGCATATAGTATGTGTAGTGTAACTCCATCCATAGCTCATCAAAGTAGCATGTGTGCTTAGTTTGTGTTGAGTCCATTTCAGTGGGTTTTTGGTGATGTTTTACCATGCCATGAACCTGTTTTGGGTTGGTTTTGTTACTTCATGCTTGCATGATATACTTGTAATGTAAGTCTCCTAAACTAGCTTCACATGCTCCATGCCATGCCATGTCATTTTAGCTTGTTTGGTTTATGTTCCAGCATGTATTTGGTCAT